CGCTTACGAACAGTGGTCGCCATGTAACTCTATGGGATCAGAGTTACAAACAGTTCGAGTTACGGACCAAGTGTTGGTCCGTAACTCATTTGTAACTCGGAGAGCAGCTGTATTACATACTGAAACTTTAACATAAGTAAATCAAACAAGAAAACCATGCTCAAGTTAAAAAAAATACAGCTGACACAAGTGTACACATTTATCCAGAAACACAATATTTATTTAACATTTTATTTGTGTGTGTGTGTGTATTCTGCATTGCAGATTATTTTGAATTTTATACATCTCTATTTACAGTGATTTAAAATATTCTTTATTTTTTTAATCTCTGGAAGATATTTACAAGGTCAACAGTAACTACACTTCAACAGTCAACAGCATTAAACAGTTTCTGTAAGACAGTTAAGATAATGGCTTACATACACCAATAACATGATCTTCAATATGTATCATCTTCAGCTCTGTAAGAATGAAGATTTTCACTGGTCCCAGGTGAAAGGACATCATGCAACAGAGACTGCATTCTGTTTAGTGTTTTCACCAGTACTATATCCTGATGTTTGAGAATACATACCAACATGCAGGGTTACACTGGTGAAAAAAGGCTTCTCCTAAACAATTCAAGATTTGCCCACAGAAAGTGGGTTATTTACTGCCTAGTCTCTTTTTGTGACAAAGATAAGATTATATAATGCCAAAGTAGTAAACATCCTTCAGAAACCTTAGTTCAGAGAAACAAACCTCGTAGTATGACAGAAACAGTAAGAAAAATACTATCTTAATCCTTGCAGATTGCTTCATTTTGCTAGTCAAACTGACTGCAAATTCTTTACTGTTACACAAACAGTAAGACTCAAAAAATTCATTGTGAAGTAGAGGAATTTATTAAAAAATTTTAAAACAGCATGGAATATCTCAATTTACTTATAGCAAATAAAAGCTACCATAGTAAATCCAAAATATATTGTTTTGGGATGATCTAATTAGTCAAAATCTTCTCTAGCTTTTGACTGGTGTTCGTGACGTGGAAAAATGTTTCCAGTTAAGTGATTCACAAGGTTATTTACTTTATGTGGTTTCATTCCATAAATAACCAATAGTAATGCTCTTGCCCAAAAGCATACACTTTTCTTTAAAAAAAAAGTAAAATGTAGTGTTTCCAAGTAATATTTGAACACAAACTAACACTTTGAATACTAGCAAGCCCATGAGTACTTTGCAGACATGAATAATTTATCCTGAGTGATTGCTAGTACTCAAATACATGAGTACTTTGCAGACATGAATAATTTATCCTGAGTGATTGCTAACTCTGATGGCAAATTAGAAGCCATATAAATTTGACTAGTAACTTTTTCATAAATACATGCAAGATTAGTGAATTGTCTTAACTGGAGAGAAAAATTTCAGTAGCTTATCTGTCACTTTCAAGTCCTATGTCAAGGAGAAGAAATTTAATTTGTTTTATGAGAAACTACTGTCAACCTATTCAAATTCATATTCAGTGCTGGAAGAGAGCAGGATCAATTGTCCTACACCTGAAACAAAGTGCCATAAAGGAGTCTTATTGAAGGGTACATCTAAATTCGTATAGTCATCTGTGTTACAGACATGATACAGCTAGTTGCTCATTTGAAGGCATTTCAGTAATTAGCTTGATTTTTCTAGAGCTGATTTTTTTTATTTGGAAATTCATTTTAAAAAAATTTAATTTGACAAGTATTCAGTCAAAATAAAGGGGTGTCTTCTGTTCTATTAACTCACATTTGACTGTAAACCTGTGGCAGAAATTAATGATAAAAATTAGTTGACGAAGTCCTTGCTCAAAATGCAGGCCAGGATCTCAAAGTAATTGTACAATTGTTTTTCCACCAGTGTTTCCTCACAGGAATAGAAAAACAATATTTTACATTAAAAAGGGACAATTTTTTGTAGGGTGGACTCCATTTTAATTACAACTGATCACGTGGTCTTGTTAGTAAACTCTGCTGCATGTAGGAACTATGAAAATGAATTAGCTTTTCTATATGCCTATAGAGATTACACTAAATTTTAACAGAAAAAGTAGTTTGCATTTAATTTAATTAAATCTAGAATTAAGATAACTGACTTGGGCTTCCCTTATTTATTCTTGAATCTGGACTTCCACCACTCCTGAAGAAGTGGGTTGTGCCCACGAAAGCTCATGATACCATCTACATAGTTTGTTAGTATTTAAGGTGCTAGTAGACTATTTGTTGTTTTTTAAGTTTTGGGATAGACTGTCCACTAATAAAGCTCATTTCTCATACACAGATTTTCATCTGAGGTTGTCCATATTAGACTTCTAGGGATAATGACAAAAAAACTGAATTTATTTTTACTGCAGATAAACTTTGCCAACACAATCTACTCATTATTTTAAGTGTCTTATTTCTTCTGGTTTTATGCTATGCAAGCTGGTTTAAGATAGAATTTTAAAATCATTTTACAATATTAGCAGTCATATTAAAATATTAGCAGTGGGCATAGGAACATATGTAAGCCAGCCTTGCAAAATCTTCTCACATTCAGGGTGTTTTGTTTTGACATACCAGTGATAGATCATTTTCTTCCTTCTCTTCATTGTCATCCATCATAGGCTATGTCTACAGAGCTTCCCTCTTCTGCAAAAGCCTATGCAAATGAAGCACAGATTAGCATATTGCCGCACTTCATTTGCATAATTAATTGAGCCATTTTTGCACAAGAGGTTTCTGCACTAAAAGGCGCAGTCTACACAATACCTTTTTGTGCAAAAAACCCCTCTTGCATAAGAGCCTGAAAAAATGAGGAAGAATGGCTCTTGTGCAAGAGGGGTTTTTTGCACAAAAAGGTATTGTGTAGACTGCGCCTTTTAGTGCAGAAACCTCTTGTGCAAAAATGGCTCAATTAATTATGCAAATGAAGTGCGGCAATATGCTAATCTGTGCTTCATTTGCATAGGCTTTTGCGGAAGAGGGAAGCTCTGTAGACAGCCATAAAGTAATAAGCAGGAACATACACTTGGCTCTCAGCTGATCAATTATCACAACAGTTTTAACAGAAAGGTGTATCTATATAAACTTTAGTGCAATGCACAACCTTGATTATCCAAATGCCATAAATAAATAAGGGAATTTTAAATTAAGACCCGAGTCCCAGAAATAAACGCTAAGTTTAAAATGCCAAACAAGATATCAAATATTTGTATGGGTCTGGTTTAAGCTGAATACTCAGTCCATGTACACTACAGTGAATTTGTCCTTTTTAATTTCCATGTTTGGAATGAACTAGTTTTACTCCTGGCTTAAGTTCTGCAGTCATTCCTGACTCAAGATATGTTCACTGTCCACACATGAACTATTCTCACAATGCCAATGGATACGATATACCTAACGCACTTTATGGTAAGTTAATACATGAAGGTTACAGCTCTTCAGCAATATTAGACTGCAACAATTTAGTGTTTATATGATTTAGTGTTTAAAATACCAAAATGTTGTTGGTACAGTGCATAATAATAATAAACAATAATAATAATAATAATTAATAAGTGGAGTTCATTCTATTTATATTTTTTTCACAATTTAGAGGGGCAGTATTTTATACAATTTCAAAATTTTCTTTTCTTGAAAAATTCATTTTGATTTCTATTTCTAATTGTTTTTAAGAGTTTTTTCTTATTAAAAAAAATCAAGTTACTTATCAATCCCTTCATCTGAATTGTTTCCAGATTTAAGAAAATTAAAACACCTTAAATCTTAAGGCAGAGAGCAATTAGCTTATCTGGAAAGATAAATACGTTTGAACTGTTGATTTAAAAATCACCTCAGTGTAGAACAATTTGTTCCAAAATTAATCTTCAAAATTAATTTGTGAACCTTTTATCGTTATTTTGAAAAAATCCTTGAACTAAGTTTTTAAATTAACTACTAATTATCCAAAAAGTAAAAACAACCTACTTTGTATTCGCCAATATACACACAACTGAAGCAGGCGATGTGACAAATGTAGGTACCTACCCGCATAGAAACCTCACATGGTGAGAAAAAGCTCTGCTCCTGTAAATCCACCTACTCAGAAAAGTAATGCCAAAAAAGCTATCTTGTCAGAAAACATTTTCACTATTCCAGTGTCTGAACAGGTGATTTTAAGTACTTTAAAAGACTGTGAGAAACGAGGTTTGTCTGAGACTATTACTTTTACAAACCATACAAGCATCTGACAGAATACATAATAGGTATGATGTGATGTTCACTGCTACAGAATGGAAGGACAAGATTCAAACTGTTAAGAAAGCTTTTTCAAAGTCACACCATGAAAAGTATTCCAATACGTATTTGGAAAAATACAGTAAGTGTCAATACTTTGAAAATTAAATTAAGTGGATGAGTTTACTTTTCACTTTCAACATTCATTTAAATAGATATTACTTGTCACTTTGCTGTCTACACAAAAATGGCTCACAGCTCAGCCAAAATGCCACTTTTAAAGTAGCTTGAAAGCTGATGAAAGAATTAGCAAGCCAGTTATTTTATATGTCCTTAAGTTATGAAGCCCCAGAAATAATGAGTTACGAATGGCAGCATATTATTTGCACATTTATGCTAAAATCAAGAGAATACATTTATTCTTAGTTAAATGTGTAGGTACATCTTGCTACAGTATCCATGCTTGCCCACCTCAGAGTTATGCATATATACTATCTCAGATGAGGAGGAATGTTATATTCTACATTCTTACCTTCTTCTGTATACTGCAGCTGTACTGAACTATTGTAGGGGTCTAATCTAGTGCAGTGTTTCTCAACCAGTGGTATGAGTACCCTTGGGGTATTTGAAAGAAGTCTTGTGGGTACATCAACACAACTGAAATTTGAAGAAAACGGAATGTTTGTTTTACAGCACTTTATTATTTTTGTACTTTTTACACCCCAAAATTTCATCATCCACCCACCCAGCTACGATAAAGTTGTTTAAACAAAAGTGTTGCAATAGTAGGCATGTTACATACCAAATGCATAATAATTATGGGGAGACAATAGTTAAGGAAATAAATCTCTGTATCAGTTATCAGAAACCCATTATTTTAAATAGTTTTGCACTTGGTTATACAGTAGCATATAATACTTTGTCATCTCAAATTGTTCTTTGTATCCCAAGCATTTCCATTTCAATGAATGCCACAGTACTCACAAGTTCACAAGCTCAGCACATTATATTTCACAACTACTTTAAATGGATTGATGAATATATCTAAAAGCATTAATGATCTATAGCACTGACATGACACATTATAATGGCTGCTTCATTTATGTTCTGGATGAGTCATTCCAGAACACAGAAAAATTGATCAGTAAACCTCTGACATAAAGCACTCAAAGAATCCTTTGGACAAGTTGTTCTATATCGTGTCCGTTCATAGTGTGGAACAACTAAGATGTTAATAGGGACAGAAGACGAATGCTATCAAAAAGCAACCTGTAGAGCAAGTAGTGTGCATGAACACAAAAACAGATTAACAATATTTATAACAGATTTATAAAATATAACAAAAGGCACTACACCAAAAGACTAAATATCTGCAAAACTGTTTTTAAAAAGTAACTAAAACAATTCAAATTTGAGTACCCATATTTGACTCTCCATTTAAACCTATTTAAAGGACTATTTCATTTTGCCGAACGGGTTTCACTGCATTTTGTAAAACAAATGGATTATGATATGGAAACTCATTTGCCAAGTTTTAGCATAACACAACATTTTAAGAGGAGTTACAAATCCTTTAGATGAAAACAATAGAAAAATACAGAACCTTGATAGCAGAGCTACCAAACCTCACTACATGTATTTTCAACAGGATAAAAATAGATTGGATTTCTTCCAAAAGTAGCTCTGAACATTTCTTCCTCAAAAACTAATATAAAGGAATAATTTGGTCCTTATACATTTTTATTTTTAGTACCATTTTCTTTTGTCTATTCTAAATACAGCTCTACTCTTAAAAATAATCAGACAAGCTTCTGCATGATGATAGCCATTGTATTTAGTTTCTCCATTGCAAGTACTCTAGAAAATAAACTGACAAATGTAGCTATCTCTTGCTATAATGTGAAACATCAATATTTGTCACAGTACATACTTTACAGGTTGATTTTACTGAACAATGCTATCTCTTGGCCATTCCTTATTTTGTCTTTGTTCTATCAATTTATACACCCTTAGCCATCCTTGCCATTTTTAACAAGATGCTAAGGTGTTTTTTTTCCTTAACTGAATGTTTGTGTTTAAGTGTTTAACTGAAATTTTGGTGTAAGTCTGAATGCTGTTTAATGCTCTTTGAATGAGAAATATGAATAAATGACTAAACTCATTCAGTGTCTTCGCTCAGCTGTTTAAGCTATGAGCTCGAAAATCACTTTGAAAAAAAGGCTAACTTGAAATGAGTGTTAAGAGAAAAATCAAAAGCTTGAAATATTTAAACAACCAAACCATTAATGCTATTTTACAGTTCATACGTCCTTTATAATCAAAAGATAGCCTGTAATTTGTAATTGTATATTTTTTTTCACAGTGAAAATTTTAAAACCAAAGTGCCTACATAATGAAATAATGTAACTCTAATCTGTTCCATGAGTTAATGGCCTGTAAACTTCCAGGTCACAACAAAGTACAGAAAGAAGGCTAAGACTTCCCCTTTTCTCCTTAGTTATCTGAAGAAAGACAGAGACTAAAATATGAACATCCTTCTTTTTAATTAGACATGTACTTTTAAGTAGTGATCTCTAGCATAGGTATCAATTGCTGCCCATACACCAATCATAGATTCAGGACTTGGTTCAACAGCATGACTTCAGAGTTTTCTAAGAGAATGCTTTTGACTGTCAGCAAAATGATGAGACAGTATTTACAAAATGCAATGGATTGGAAATACAAAGGTAGTGAAGTATGATACTTCTGGGAGAAAAGACTGAGTACCCCCATTGTACCAACATTGTTTCTAGAAAAAGTGTTGCACATTGAAGCTTCAGTGTTTTCAGCAAATCATTATCTCAGTCCGTGATGCATCTCCTTGGAGGAGGATGTCTGGACTACAGATGTCTTAATCTATGCTGTGACTGAACCACAAACACCTAGAAAGCAGCTGAAGAAAGGTTCCCTAACAGCCATGACACCATGGAACACAGCCTGAGAATCCCTCTGTTTACCTGAAGATGCACTTGTTCAATTCAGTGATCATCACCTCACAAACAAAAGCAGAGTTACTAGTTAATTATTCCTGGGAAAGTTTGTGTCTCCTTCCCACCTTTGAATCATTTCAACAGGTTTGGCCTTTCCAAATTCTAGTCTATAAGCAGCACGACCCTGTGTCCTGGAGGGAAGACATGTAACATAAATATGGCTATAACGCCATAAGTAGTACACTGTAACTTACGTTCTCTTCGAATAGCCCTCTCTTTATGTGAGGGGCAACAACTTGGTAATAGGTATGTCTCCACTGCTGAACAGGAAGAGTGTCAGGAGCAACAGAGTGGGGGCGAAAGTGGGAAAGGAAAATAATTATTCTCAATTTAATGGAAAAGTGCATTAGTCATCCAGGAGCAACAACATTCCTCTCCCCCCAAAAAGATTGCACAAACTCAGAGAGGTCCAAAGTCATATTAGGATCTCTGCAGCATCCTGGTTTTAAGAAAAATCATGATCCAGTAGCCTTTGCAGTACTTTAGACTGAGAAAACTAACCCGTTTCTTTTTCTTAACAAAGCCAAAATATCATCTCATAGGAATCACATTCACCATTTCCTCTAATGTCTCCAGTATCACAGTGTTGAAATGGGACTGATCAACCTATGATGGATTGCACATCACCCAAGGAGAAAGGAAGGTGTGGAAAAGGCATACAGAACATTTCATACAGCTTCACAACTATGTTTACAGGGGTGGGGGCTGGGAGTGAGGGGAGATTTATTGCTGTTTTATACAAAAAACAGGATATCTAAACTGAATCAAATGAGATCACAATGGTCAGTATTGTCACACTGTGGGATGAAGACTCTAGTTCTTGCTCAAGGATGAACCGTCTGTTGTTTAAAAAGTAAAGGGGAGTCTAAGCTACACTTGGGATATCAGCTGCATATTGAAACTTGGGGATCGAGACTGCTTGGTAAGGGGAGCTCCTGGGGTAAGGAGATCTTTACCTTCCCTAGCTTGGCCTAACCGGTCCTCCTGTAGACTGATAGTTGAAAACCGATTGGCATTGCCAGCTGCTAGATTAGTAACAACTTCAGTGTCAATCCCAGTGATGGATCCTGCTTGACCACCATTCACATGGTCAAATGATTTACTGGAGGAAGCACTGGCGGTCCGGATCAGGCTCAAGCTACTGGCTTTTGGTACCACCTGCCCAGCAGGCAGGCTCAGGTGTTTCTTTGTAGGTGTCATCTCGATTGTTTCTGCAGTAAGGTCAGCTGGTTGGTGTAAGTACTGCTTCCAAGCTACTGAATCTCGAGGGCTCTCATTGGATTTAACAGTAGACGATGTTTCTTTATCCTTAGCTGAACGCCCACTTGTTGCTTTCCTTAAACTGCCCCTTTGGGATGTGGATGATAGAGGCTTGGTCCCAACAGGCTGGTTACTAAGGGAAGCTCCCGATGAAAATCCTTCGTCAGCATCATTGAGGTTCACAGATTCCTCTCTTCCATTTATACCCTCAGTGTCTACAAAAACCCAATACAAATAAATCAGACCAAGAAACTAAACAGAAAATGTATATGAAGCAAATGTGTACAAAACACTACTAAAAACAAAACTAACAAACACTTCATTTTCTGATCCAAACACTTTTCTACTTGTTAAAAAAAATACTGATTCCTGCAAACAAAAAGCCTTCCTGCTATCCATAGTGGATGGTAACTTTAGTCAGCACCAGATTCCAGTACTCTAGGAGCCCGATTTACCTCTCACTTTCTTGATTTTACACTGAAGTAGCCTCATTCACTTCAAGAGAATTACTCCTGATTTACACACAAATGCAAAAAGTCAGTCCCATATGGCTTATTTTCTGTTCCATTCATATGTACTGTGTATGGTTCTCTCACACTTGTAGGGGGGCACATCAGTGACAGTTGGGGGGCTTAGGAAGGGGTTTTTTGCTTCACTTGTGTGGTCCCCAAATAATTTTTCTGTGGATCAGTGGCCCCTGATCCAAAAAAAGGTTCCCCACCCCTGCCATAAATAAAGAAAACATTGAAACTTTTTATGCTAGACAAAAACCATTCTCCCTCGCAAAATGGCTTGGGTGTTATGTAATTAATGGTGAGTTTCCATTAGCAACTGGAAGGTTTCTATTAGTCCACAGAAAGGTTTGCATTGAGCCAGGTGGGCCACGGGCCAAAAAGTTTGAGAACCACTGGTGTAAACAAAGGTTTACCCCCGACTGAGACACCTCTTGGGCTCCAGCCTCACGGGGGGATGGGGAGGGAAGTCTGAGGTTCAGGGCTTCCCATGGGCCAGATTTACTCTTCTGCGGTTTTGGAGTTAGTGGATTTTAGGGGTTCAGTGTATGGGACAGGGCTGAAGTGTATGGGTCAGTGAGTGGGACAGGGGTGAGTGCAGGATCTGGGCAGGAGATGGGCTGCAGGAGGCAGTGAGGGTGGGAGGAGGGAAGCAGAAGCAGGCTGGAAGTAGGATATCTGGCCAGAGGGAGGGAGCAAGAGCAAGGGAAGGTGCAGTGTGTGGCCAGGAGGAAGGGTTCAGGAGCAGGGTGGAGATACAGTGTCTGGCCAAAAGGGAGGGTGCAGGAATGGGTTGGGGGAAGGATGTCTGACGAGGGGAGAGGGTGCAGGAACGGGCTGGGAGTGCAGGGTCTTGGTGCGGGGCAGTGCAGGAACACGGTAAGGGTACTGAGGGTGCACTTACTTGCTTTTGTGCCCCATGCCTCAGGTACAGTCTCCTGCTGCTGTGAGTCAGCGTGCTGCTGTTTCCCCAGCTGGGGGAGGGAGAGCGGCAGCGTGCAGAATCACTTATGGCTTCTTTTCTCTCTTCTTCCCAAGAGGTGGGTCCAGCAAGTGGGGCTCGAGGCTCCTCCCGCCCTCCCCCGGGGGGAGCCAGCACTCGAGGCTCCCTCCTGCAGTGGGAAGCCAACCCTGCTGTGGTGGGGGAGGGACCTATGGGGCTGGATGGCTTGCACGGGCTCCCTGCTGCAGGGAGAGGAAGGGAAGGAGGAGAGAGAGGCAGACCACTAGTGGTCCACGGACTGCAGTTTGAGAACCACTGGTTTACACCAATGTGAAAAGAGAAAAAACGGTTATTTTCAGAACTGTTGTTCTGAGAGATGTGTTGCTCATGTCCATTGCACTTAGGTGTGCGCATGGCGCGTGCACGGATTGTCGAAGAGTTTTCCCTTAGCGGTACCCATCAGGCCAGCCGGGGAGCCCCTGGAGTGGCGCTGCTATATCGGTGCATATATATCCCCACTGGCCTTCCACCCCCTCAGTCCCTTCTTGCTGGAACGCTCCGATGCAGGGGATGTTGGTGAGGTGTGGAATGGACATGAGCAACACATCTCAAAGAACAACACTTACGAAAGGTAATTAACTGTTTTTTCTTCTTCAAGTGCTTGCTCCTGTCCATTCCACTTAGGTGACTTCAAAGCTATCCCCCAGGAGGCAGGGTCAGAGCCTACCGTGAGAGAGACTGCAACACAGCCCTACCCACTGAGGCACCCTCCCTGGCATGCTGCATAATGGCATAATGATTTGCAAAGGTGTGCACCAACGACTATGTAGCTGCCCTGCAAATCTCCAGAAGGTCCAGCCTGAGGAACGTCTCCCTTACAAGGGATATATGGCTGATCACCTGGGAGAAGGTGGAGCCTCTTACGAGCCAATCGTCCAGGTATGGATAAACCTGGAGCCGCCACTTGCTCAGGAAAGTGGCCACCACTGCCATGCACTTTATAGAAACCCTGGGGGCTGTCGAAAGGCCAAAGGGGGAGCCGTAAACTGGTAAGGGTTGCAACCCACCATAAAGCGGAGGAATCACCTGTGCACAGGCGCGATAGAAATGTGAAAGTAGGCATCTTTGAGACCGAAGGCAGCATACCAGTCTCGCCATCTTGAATTTGGATTTTACTATGAAGGTATTTATATTCCTCAGGTCCAGAATGGGGTGGAAGCTGCCCTTGGCTTTTGGGACCACGAAGTAGCAGGAGTAGAAACATCTCCCTTACTGTCCCATGGGACTCCTTTTACCGCCTCCAGGTCGAGAAGCTTCTGCACTTCCATCCTGAGAAGATGTTCATAAGAGGGGTCCCTGAAGAGGGACAGAGAAGCAAAGGAGGGAGGGGGGGCGGGAGCAGAAAGGGATGAAATATCCCCTTCTCACCATGTCTACGACCCAGCGGTCCGTCACAATGAGCGGCCAGGCAAGATGGAAGGGAAATAAGCGATCAGTAAAGGACCTCGGTCTCAGACTGATGCACTGTCCTCGCTCGCACCTTCAAAGATTCAGCCTAGGGCCCTGGGGCTTACTGGAGGGGCCTGCTCCCGGTCGGAAGAGGAGTGGGAGGGACGTCTGCCGCTTCTGTTATTATTCCACCCCTATTCCTAGAGAAGGCCGATCTATTCCCCTGCTGGAAAGAGCGGGATAGGGCCCTAGGGAAGGAGCCCTTGGGGATATGGACATCTAGAGACCTGAGAGGTACCCTAGAACAGGGGTAGCCAACCCATTCTGGGCAAAGGGCCAAGATATCAGCTGACAGCCATGGAGAGGCAGTGTTCCAAGCCATGGGGGGAAGGAGGGAGGAGAAGAGCCGCATGCAGCTCGCGAACTGCGGGTTGACCACAACTACCCTAGAGTCCTTTAGCCAATGGAGGCCTTTATCGAGAACAAGCCCCCACCCTGTAAGGGCAGGTCCTGAATCGTGTTCTGGACTTCAGGAGGAATGCCAGACACCCGAAACCATGCGTTGCCATGGTACAGGCTGCCGCATGCGCGGAGTCCAGTGCTGCCTGGAGTATGGCTCGGGACACTACCTTGCCTTCCTGAGACAAGGCCCTGAAATTCTGCCTGGAGTCATGGGGTAGCAACTCCCCAAACTTGTCTATAGCTGCCCAAAAGTTGAAGACATATCTACTCAGGAGGACTTGTTGGTTAGCAATCCTGAGTAGGAGACCCCCAGAGGCATAGGCCTTGCAACCCTACAGGTCTGATCACTTGGCCTCCCTGTTCTTGGGGGTAGGGACGGCTTGGCCGTGGTGCTTGCGGTGATTAGTGGCCTGCACCACTATCAAGTCCGATGCCGGATGAGAGAACAGGTGCTCATGGCCTGCCTGATGGACAAAATACCGCCACTCTGCCCTTTTGTCTGTAGGCGGAATAGACGCTGGCATCTGCCAGACGGCCTTTGTGATTTTGCCCACCATCTTATTTAAAGTCAAAGCCACACAAGATGGCACCTTCGCATTGAGGATGTCAACTGTAGGATCTGAGTCCTCAGAGGCCCGCTCAAGTTGGGCCCCAAGGCTCTGGGCCAGTCTCCGGAGGAGCTCTTAATGGACCCAGGAGTCCATGCCCGGCATTGATGAAGAGGCCAACCCTAGGGCCTCATCAGGGGAGGACAATGAGTACCCCTGAACAGTCAAGTCCTCCAGCTCATGCAGCTGCACCAACACCTGAGAAGGGGCAGAGTGCCCCGATGACCCATGGTCCCCGCTCCCCTCTGCCGGTGGGTGAGGGGATTCCCTCCTGTACCGCCAGAACCTGCGGTGCCAGGGCACCGGAGTGTCCGAAGGTGGGGACAGGACCCCCAAGTGTGAGGATCCCACCGTAGAAGGAGTACTCCCCTGGGCCTGGTGGTATGCCCATGGGATCCAAAACAGCCACTGGTCTGGATGCTGCCACTGCAGGGGCTAGGTCTTTGAATGGCCCGAGACACTGTCATGGTGCTCAGGGTGCTGGGAGTAAGAGCAGCACCAAGACCTGGAACAGAGCCAGAACCTAGAAAGGCACCTGGACCTGGAGCGGTGTCAGGAGTTTGAGCGGGAGCAGGAGCTTGATGCCCTAGACTGCACCGACTCCACATTGGAATCTGATGTGTAGTTGGAATCCGACCAAGGTGGGGCAGAGGCCAGACCCGGGAAATGGTGCCCTTCTGCATGCCGAACCATGGATACCAGTTTGCTCCAGTACTGCATGAGCTGTGGGGGCATGAGGTGCTCCAGGACCGTGGACTGGACCGCCAGGATGAACATGGTTGATGCTAAGCTCTCTCTGGACTCCTGAGAAAGCAAGGCCACTGGTACCAAAAGACCAGTCGGTGCCGCTGGGGAGCGCAGCATCGCATGGGGCGCTGGTGTCAAGGACGGTATGAGCCTACCTAGGTCCGGTGCCACTGACGAGGCATGGGCCCGATCCCAGATCTCCAGAGAAGGTGAGGATGTCAGCAGTCAGCTCAATCGGTTACCACGCCACCTCGAACATGTCCAGAGTGGAAGGCTGTTCAACCTGAACTGGATCTTCCACTGCACTGTGGCTCTTGGTCGCACTTGACTGGCCACGCTCCGGCCCTGGAGCAGCAGGCTTTGGGACCAGTGCGGGCGCGACAGGGTATCCCAACTGGGGGCACACCGCAGGAGTATGCCGGGGCTGAGACCTGCCCTTCTCCGCTCTCCTTTTCTTGTGCTACACTAGTGATTGTGAACAGTGCTTGGAACAG